CAGCCTGGGGGGCCCCCGGGCCGGCCTCGGGACGGCGCAGGCCAGGACTGAGCCCGGCTCCCGGCGCCTGAGCCGCTGCGCCGGGGTGGCCGCCGTGCGCGCAGTGCCCGCCCTGCCTCGCAGCTGCCTCCGCGCAGAGCCGGGCGCCGGGAGGAACGGGGCGGAGCAGGGCGAGCGCGGGCAGCAGGGGAGGGGGGGCAGGCAGGGAGGAGGCGCCAGCGGCAGCGTGTGACACCCCCGCAGTCCCCCCGGCCCCCGCCGGCCCCCCGCTCCCTCGGCGGGAGGCCAGACGCCGCAGAGCGAGGAGCGCGGATCCTGGAGCCAGGACACCTGGCTTCTAAACCAGCTCCACCTGCCACAGCTTCCGACTCGTCCTCTGTAAAAACCCGGGGAAAGTTTACGGGAACGATGACGTGAGGCTCAGGGAGGTGAGGGGCTTCCCCCCCACACCCCCCCACACCCCCGGGCAGCCCTGGAACCCGAGCTGAGGGGTGGGAGCGGTGACTTGGCCCAGACGCTTGACAGAGGAGGAAAAAAGAACAGAGTCGGTGAGCCGAGGCTGAGGCGGATACGTGGAGCAGCGTTTCAAATTCAATTAACATCGAGTATCTGCTAAGCGCCAGGGACTTTTACATATATTAGCTGACAACATTCTCAGTTTAGGCCGAGACCCGGAATTGAAGCGGTCAGGGGCACTTCTGAAGGCAGCGCCATCAAGTGTGCGCTTGGCAGATGTTCTGACGCCCAGGCCAGGGCTCTTCCGATGGCTTGCCCAGCTTTCAGTCTTTACAGGCGGCTAGGCCAGGGTCAGCCCAGATGACACACCTCCAGCCCTGAACTTCTCTGCCACCCAGTCCCAAACCCAGCTGTTTCCTGTCTCATCTGCGGTGCTTCATCCTCAAATCCTCCTGCTGTCTCCCCCCACATCCAATTTCCCACCAACTCTCCGGACTTCTCCCTTTTAAGTCTCAGTCTGCCCATTTCTCTCTGTGCTACAGCCACTCGCCAAGGACAAGTCAGTGTCGTCTCTTGTCATAATGGTCCCGTCACCTCTTCTTCCCTCAAATCCAGCCCCTCTGTCTCAGCACCAAAGGGATCTTTCTAAAGTGAAAACCTCCCCTGTCATTTGGGGCTCCCTCTGCCTGTGGGTTAAACCCAACTTTTTACCAGGCTACAAAGTCTTTCATGATCTTAGTCCTGGTCTTATTTCAGGCTTCGTCTCCTCTGTCCCGTCTCAACTAGCCCCAGACACACCCGACTATGTTCTCTTTCCTCCTGGACTTTGAACATTCTCTCTGCTCTGCCGGAAACACATCTCCTCCTTGCAGCCCCCTCAAATACCAGTTTGCCTATCTAACATAGGCTAATGCTTTCGATTGCACACATCCTCTAGACGCTGCAGTGTAGGTTCAGAAAACAATAAAAGAAAACCCCAATAACAGTGGCTTAAACTAGAAAGAAGTTTACTTTTTCTCCCATAAAAGAAGTCTGGAGGTCAGTCCAGGGCTCCAGGGTACTCAGAGACCTAGCTTCCTTCTATCTTTCTGCTCATCATCCCTAGCATGTACATCCATCTTCAAGATTCCCTCATAATCACAATAAGGCCCCTATAGTTCCAGCCATCACATCTGGTACCAGGGTGCAGGAAGTAGGAAAGATGAAAGGGAAAAGGGTGTGTGTCTTGTTGGATCAGGCTCCTTTAAAGGGCTTTTCTGGAAACCCAATGACTTCCACTTCTCTCTCACCGGCACTTCTATCTGCCAGGAAGTCTGGGAAGTGTGGTGGTGTATAGCTGGAGCCATGGTCACTCCCCAAAATGCAGCTCTGTTAGAAAGAAGGGGACAATGGGTCACATGCTCAACCAGTGACCCAAGACTGTGTTTGTCACTCCTCCTTTGGGCTCCTAGACCACCCTCTCCCTCTCTTACCATAGCCCTTACCACACCCCATCGTCACTGCGTGTCTCCTCAACCAGAGGACGAGCTGTGTGGGGGTAGGCACTGCTATAGCCCCTGCTCCTAGCTCAGTGCCTGGTTGGAATACAAGGTCCAAAGCTTCAGACTTTATCACATAGGCATGGGGAAGCACCAAAGACATTTGAGCAGGGAAATGCCATGAGCATCGTGCAACAGGAAAATGAACTCCGGTGTCCGGTGCAAGGTGGTTTGGGAGCAGTGAGATCAGTGAGGAAGCTCTTGCAATAAATAGTGGAGATAAGAAGGAGTAACAACGCCATAATACCAAAACCCTTCTAGTGGAGCTGACCTTAGAAGCATTCCAATGGCCATCAAGAGCCATCAGGACCTGCTCAGAGGTAAGAACTGAGATTCCCAGAGTCCCCACACACCCCTACTGGCTTCCTGAGATCGCTTCCCAAATAAACTACTTGCATTCAGATCCTTACATCAGGTTCTGCTCTGGGAAAACCCAAACGAAGACAATGACAATTGGGGCTGTCTAAATTAGAGTCCTTTGAAGAGGTTGCTGCAGTCACCAAGAGGCTCATGATAATGAACGCTACAACTGAGATGAAACCCATCCAGACCCCCTGCCCCTCACTCTGCGAGAGCACAGAGGTTTTGAGATGGCTCTCCTTGGGGACATGGGTGGCCAAGGCTGCAGCAGCTGTGCTACCCGGAGCAAGCAGGGTGTGTGCTGCCTACCTCGAGGGGGACCCAGTTTTGTCTGACAAGGCTGGAGCAGGAACTAAACCCTCTGCTAGCAAATCTCCTTGGGTCCTTACACTGGACACCTGAATCACATGCCTATCCCCAAACCAATCACTATGGTAAGGTCTGGGTCATGGTCACCCCCTCCCAAATCACAGGACTGAGTGCGGGGAAGAGACAAAGGAAATGCAGGCTACCATTGCAGGAAGAAAGGGATGGGCTGCTGCTAGTCACGGAAAAGGAGCAAATGTTTGCCATATACACAGTAGAATAGTAGGCAGCCATTTAAAAAGAAGTGGGTAAGGGGCTGCCGGTAAGCTCAGGTGGCTAGAGCACAGGCTCTTAACACCAAGGTTGCTGGTTCGATCCCCACATGGGCCAATGAGTTGCGCCCTCCACAACTAGACTGAAACAACTACTTGACTTGAAGCTGATGGGTCCTGGAAAAAACACAGTTCCCCAATAAAATTTAAAAAAATAAAAAGAAGTGGGTAAATCTGTATCTGCTGACTTGGAATAATCTCCAAGATAAATTAAGTTAGAAGAAAGCAAGGTGCAGAAGAGTGTACACCAAAAGTTGTGGATGGAAGCTGAGCCTCTTGGTGGTCTCTCTTTCTCTTTAGAAATCCCTGAGTGAGAGACCACCAGGCCCCACTCACCACAAGGTGAGTGCCGGGGTACCAGCTCTGACAATGAACAGGCAACTGTGTTTATTATTTCCTGGTAGAACCAAAATCTGCAGCCAAGAAAAGCTGGTCCTGGCCAAAAGACTGACTTTTGGATGAGAATGATGTCTTCAATAATAATCCTGCCAAAAACCACTATCTCTTGCATTAGTCCTCCCCCTAAAGGGTAACAGGAAACCCAATGGAAAATTCAACTCACACCCGTTGAGGAAAAACCCAAATCTGATTTTGTATATTTTTTTCTAAATTGACAAAAATAAACACAGATTTTCTTATTACAAAATGAATACATTGATTGTTTTCATGCAAACAGCACATGCATTTTACAAATACCTTGTCTTTAGAGTTTGGTGTATATACCCTGTGTGCTTCTAAGCACTTTTTAATGTATGTAAAATAAATAGGAACTTACGATTTTTCTTTTTTACAAAAGTGAAGTTACTTACATGCATTCAATAAAGTAGGTATCCAACGTTGTAAGAATAAGCACTGTTTCCTGGAGGACTAAAACTATTTTTCATTTTGAATGGGGTAAAAATACGGCCTTTAGGCATCCTTGTTTTCCCTGGTTTGGGCTTTGGAAACGTAGAAAGAAAGCTTCTCTGAAGCCCCGCCCCATCCTTTATTTTCTCTGTTGATAACCCACAGGTGACACCAATCCGGGCGGTACCTCCATCCTGAAGTCCTGAGCAGACGCTGAGGCACCTGAGCCCGGGATAGTTGCAGGATATGAGTGAATTGGCATTAAGCGTGAGGTGAAATGCGGCCGCAGAAAATTCGCTCACTGCCCGTTTTTTGTGCCTTAAAACACACTCATCCATACTCAAACCCTTTGGTTCTGGAGCGGTGACGTGCAAGACTGTGAAGCAATTCCATGAGCTTCCAAACACAGGCATAGTTGTTGTTAATAAATTGTACAAGCTGTGATCACACAGAGACACTGGTTTTCCGAGAAAACTTCTGCGGGGGGATGGTGCAGCTCACGCGCTACTCCCGGCTTGCGCGCGGACGCCACCTCGGCGGTGGCCTTGACCCCTGTAGTGTGCCTTGGAGGCGCCTGCTCCCTCGGTGTGTGTTCTCTCCTCCCTTCTTAAGGCTCACGTCCTCGCGTTGAGATAATGCTTCACCTAAAAACATCATTTTGCGGGGACAAAACAGGTTCCCAGCCCCGTGGCGAAGTGCCACTTGCCGTCTGCGCACAGCCCCGGGCCCAGGGGAGCTGGGTGTGCTGCCGGGTCCTCTGCCCGGGGCCAGGGAGGAACTGCCTTCCAGACCCGCATCTCCCGAGCCCAGAGCCGACAGGAAAGCCGCGCATTCTTCATCCAGCCTTGCTAATCTGAATTCCCTCGAGGGACTCCGTCTGGAGGGAAAACCGTGGTCCCCTTTCCGCCTCAGGAGGCCTGGCGGTGAGCGGTTCCCACGGCGTGTTGCTTTACACAGGGTCGCCATCTAGTGACAACGAGGGTGTACTACTACGTCCTAATGTGAAGGCATACAACGCTACAACTTTGGAAGGTTCTGGTTTGTGCAATAGGGAGCAGACCCAATTACAGACCTTACTGGGGGAGGGTGTGTGGTGGGCCTTCGCTCCCCTGCAACACGCGGTGTGGGACCATCTCTGCAGAGGAAGGGGTGTCAGGTCCAAATACTGAGTCAGGCCTTTTGTGGACAATACCCTGGTTCTTTCAAAAAGTGAGGCCTGTAGCCCCATTGATTGATGTTGGCTCTGACAGCCCCCGCCGTGGAAGTAGTTCTGGCTTAGGAAACCCCACTCTTGGTTCAGGGAGACAAAGGTGTCAGAGGGAGCTCCACCAGTGAGAGCCCAGAACAGGCCTGCCTCCTGGGCTCCCTGAGTCCCCCTCCAGTTATAGATCTGAAGACAGGGCGAGGGTGAGGGCAGAACTCCTAGGTTCCTGGACGTCTCCCCAAGAGCCAACACCACCACCACCACCACACACACACACACACACACTTGCACTTGCTCCAGGCACAGACCCGAGGAGCAGGGATATCCTGTAACTCAGTAAACTTTCAGACGTGGTGAGAGTCAACTCTCCTTTTCTTAGACTCCCCTAATCTTTACTAGGGGTTTTCTTGCAACCGCCAGCCTGGCTTCTTGGAGGGAAAGCACCCACTCCCTCCAAGGGGATAATGTCTCCCCACAAGCACTCTGCTCCCAAAAGTTGATGACCTCTTTTCCTTCTCGTGATCTGATATTGAGGGCAGTGGGTGGAGGGAAAGCAAGTTCTCAACAGGCACCACTCAATATGCCCGTGCCAATAGGCTTGGCCCCACTGCTCAGATTCCTTGCACTTAGAATATGGGGCACTTAGCACCTCTTATCCACATTTGGGATTTTGCTGCCATTCTCCAACAACAGGACAAATCCCCCATGCAAATGGGGTCAGTGCATTAATAGGAGCAGATGCAAACTGAGAACACAAAGAGCAATCAGAGCTGTCATGTACGTTCGTGCAAGTTGCTCACTGCGCAAGGGTGTCTGGCCTGGGGGGGGGGCACTGAGATCTGAAATTCAACCCTTATTGGATCACAGAGCCAGCTGTGCCACCTGGTTAGGCATTGTCTGCCTGGAGGAAGGGGTACACTTTTCAAATTCACCTGCTCTCTATGAGTAAGGCCATGAACCCTATGGGCTGTGCCTGTGCACAGAGGCCCCCTTTTCCTAAGGCTCACAGAGGCACAGATTGGGGTCCGCTGCAGCCTCTGGGGAGTTAGCAGACTCTCCTTGGAGAAAGGGTTCCTGCAGAGCCCCAGCCCAGGACTCCTTAGCTTCTGTGGGCCCTGACTCATTTCTGTATTCACTTGCTAGGGTTGCTGTAACAAGGAAGCACAAACTAGGTGACTTAAACAACACATATGTACTGCCTCACAGTTCTGGAGTCTGAACTCCAAGATCAAGGCCTCAACAGAATTGATTCCTTCTGAGGGCTGTCCGGGAGATTATTCCAGGCCTGTCCCTGAGCTTCTAATGGTTTGCTGGCCATCTTTGGTGATCCTTGGCTTGTAGACACATCACTCCAAGCTGCCTTCATCTTCACATGGCATTCTCCCTGTGTGGGTGTCTGTGTCCAAATCTCCTCTTTTTATAAGGACCCAGTTATATTGGATTAGAGCCCACCCTAAGGACCTCACCTTAACTAATTATTACATCTGCAGTGATCCTGCCTCCAAATAAGATATTAGGGGTTAGGACTTCAGCACCTGAGTGTGTGTGTGTGTGTGTGTGGGGGGGGTTACACAATTCAACCTATACAGTAAGATCCCCAAACAAGACAGCACTAAAACCCTCATCGTCTACCCATCACCATGGTGACAGGAGGAGCTGTTGGAGGGACAGGGCAAGTTCAGCTCGTAAATGCTATAAGAAAGCTTTTCTTTCTGTGTCTCAGGATTGTGTGTGATCACCAGGCAACCAATAAAATCTGTAAGACAGACAAACAAGCCAGGCAGTCTCTCATTTATGTGTCCCCCAGAACACAAAGGAGAGGGAGGTTTCGATAGCCCAAACAGACCCTGAAATACCTCAGTGGCCAGAAAACAGTTGTGTAGAAGGCCTGGTCGCCCTGGTCAGCATGAGCCATCCTAGACCTCACAGGAAGTTGCCTCTTCGACTTTTGAAACAATAAGCTTTCTTCATCATCACTGTGAAGGTCTCCTTAAAATGAACAATAGCTTAAATGTCTGTTTCAGCCAGTGCACTTTGCTTGCAGTAATATCATAGTTGCAGCTGAAAATCAAAATATTTAATTCTCCACCACCGTGGCCAGACTGGCTCTCGTGCCATCTGTGTCACGGTACTTCAATCTGTTGCCTATAAAAGTCACCCATAATCGCAGTTTGGGGCCCCGATGAGACAGGTGGAAAAGTGCCCTCAAATGGGCTATGAAAGTTTCATGGGCAAAAATACGTGAAATCAATAAGCCAGCTGGTTAGAGCTTCACTCTGTAGACCAGGGGTCTTTACATTACTGCTCATGGGTGGGCTTTAGGGAATCTGTGATCCCCTAAAACTGAAAGCTGCAAAATGTATTTTACTAGAGAGAGGGTTCCCAGCTTTTGCTGGAGACTCAAAGGGATCGATACACAAATCAATTAAGGACCACCGCCCTGAAAACACCCATCTTCTCACACATCTTTATGGTAAAACAATAAATGCAATTTTCTTCTGAAGTATAGAAGCTCATCATGAAGTTTAGAATTGTTAACAATGGGAGTGAGGCCTTTCAACTTGACAATGTTTAATCTCCCAATCTGGACCTTGACGTTCCTGTTAAGGTTATGTACGTGGGTTTTCCTTTATGGAGAAGGATGGACCTTGATGGAGTCCATGAACTTGGTCCCAAGGTTTTAGAGATGTAAGACTCTTCCTCCAGAAGCTTGCCTTTATAGAAGGTTTTTGTTCATGTCAGCAGAGCTGAGTAGCAGACAACTTCTACGTGGCCAAAAAAATGCATAATACTTATAATTAGGACAGAAACTTTTCCAACTCTCTCTCTCTCCTCCATCACTCTACCCTATGATAGATAGACAGATAGATAGGTAATATAGATATTATAATATATAACATATATCTGGATAACATTTGTGGTACAAGGTAGGGAAAGTTTTCAGATTGCATTACAAAAATAACAACCAGATATCAACTTTTACAGAAATAAAATAGGAAATTTTAGCAAACCATTTAAACTGTTTTCTTCAATAGAATTCCTTGGCAGACAGAGATCTTCAAAAGCCTTGCCATCCCACATCAATTCTTCACTCACTGATAAATGTGGCTTTTACTTTGGGAAAAGAAGCCCCTTTTTCTCTACTCGCTTGCATTTTGGCTTTAATGTCTTTTAGAAAGCTGGGTCCTTCTGACGCACATGTACAGTGTTCTGGGAACCTCACTGTGTGGCCACCTCCCTCTGACTGTCCCTCTCCTTGTATGGGACAGGTTGGTGACTATGTTATGCTATTGCCAAGCAGGACTGGGCAGAGGCTGCCCAAATATGCTGGCTGTGTGAAAGCATCTGTATGACATCACCAAGAGTAAGACCTAAGGGAGCCCCTTTCCCCAGCCAAGCCTTATGCAAGGGTGTTAGGGTGGGTGTGTCATATTGTCATGTGCTCCTGGTCCACCTTAAAGGCCCTGGTCATTACCAGTGTCAATAACCTGAGCCAAGGAAGGCCCTCACAACTTTCAGGGCAGTGGGGGAATTTCAGGCTCTTTCTGGGCCATAACTCAGTCTGGATGTGAGGACTCTGTACCTGGAGGGTGGTCCCAACAGGTGCAGAAGAGGTTGGCACAAAATATCCACGGGCGAGCAAGTCCAGGCTGTGGGCTCCCCCTGCCAATGCCAGCCTTGGGTCTTTGGGGCCACTGCGGTATGGCTGGATCTGTGGGTAGGAGGTGGGCTCAGGCCCCTGAACTCCTAGAGAAAAGAGACAGGCTTGGTTTGGATTCAGGCCTGAGGGGTGTGTTGGCATCAGACTGGTAGGGCTGTGAGTTGGTGGCAGTGTGTGAACAATCCCTGGATTCAAAGTCTGCTCCCTTGTGAGGGGTGAGGGTGTCCTTGGGGAGTCACAGTGTTTATGCAAGACCCCTCCAAAATCTAAGACAGGTTTCTCAGGAAGCAGGTCCACGTATCTTGAGGTAGGCTGGGGGACTGAGGGGACAGGCAGAAGAAGGTGAGAAGGAGCTGTCACAGAAGCAGAAAAGGATTAAAATGGACCTTGCGGGGAAAGAGGGACCTGAGCCTGGGAGGGCAGGAGACCCCAAGCCTTGACTAGGCAGAGGCAGCCGGGTCCGCTCAGTCCCAACAGAGCCAAGTCCAAGGCCTGAGAGAGAGTCAGGGAAGATCGACCCCTATTGGCTACGGGGTTGCTGAGGCCTTACATCTGATCTTCGAACCTGAACAGTCCAGGGCTGCCTGCTGGCCCCAGCAATGCTATCTAACCTAGCATCCAGGAGCCCAACTTCCCTGGGAAGACGAATCTTTTAGATCTGGTGAGTTTGAAATTCACTCAGGCTCTTTGTCCTGAGCTCTGCATAATCTGACCTAGAGCGGGTGGGTAGCCAGGTTCTTGCAAGGAGGCCCCCACATCTTCCTCTGTAGCCCAGTCACCCAGTGGGGTTCAGGCCCAGGGCCCAGCAGAGGGGCTCTTGACCAGGGTGTGCATTCAACAGTGCAGGCTGTGAACTGCTGAGCCCAGGGCGTGCCGCTCACCTGGACTCTGATGTGAGCAAGGGTTGAGCATCGCTGGAACTGAGCACCTCACCATCCCTGCTCCTGACAGCAGTAAAGAAACCACCATCTTACTTTCCTATAGACTCATTCCCAAAAAAGAGAGATATTTTCTGCTTCCTCCTCTTCAGGGGACAGCTCGACTTTTTTCGTCCTAAAAATTAGCATTCCTAGCCCCAGGGGAGAGTTGAGTGTTTTGTTT